AGCCGAACCCACAAACTGATGAACCGAGTATTTTGTGCCCAAGAAAATCCATGTGAAAATGACTGTCCATGCTATTGTCCAACAATTCAGGATTGTCACACTTGTAATAGATGTAAATTGGAATGATTTGTTAATTGTTATGAACAAAATGTTAAAAAGTATATATATATATATAAAAAACACTATGAAATGAAATTTAATTTTTAACATGTTCAAGGGTGTCTCCTTAATCAATACCTTTTAGATCAAAATTTATATTCATTATTCATCTTTTATTTCGTTGAATGATCGACACGTTAAAATTGACGTCTTTTATTTAAAAAAAGTTCGTATTTCAAAACATGTCGACTTAAGAATGTCGTATTTACCGATGTATTTCCCGTGGACGTCAACGAAGCCCAGGACAACATACCAATACCAAGGGACCTGAAATTCAAATAACAATTTTGTACTGTAAATTCTTGATAAATTACTACTTTTGTGAAAACTATATTCACTAGTTTTATTGTATGTATGTATGAAACGTTTTTTTACCAACAACTTTTTACGGCGGTATATCAAAATGTTCCCATACACCACGACCAGGGACATGTAAGTCGGTAAGGACAAAGTAAGTGGTGCATCCACTGGAAAAACAGTAACAAAAACATGAACAACTGACAAAGCATCAAACTCTAAATACTAAAATTATTTCTCTTGAACATTGAATAAATAAATAAATAAAACCTTTTAGAATTTCGTGCAAGAAAAGAGAATTAATTTACCTTGAATTGCAACTAAAGAAGAAGTAAAAGTCATAAGGGCCAAGGTAAAAGAAATTAATTGTCCTAAGCCCAGCTTAAAAAATGTCCTGCTCAGCCCCTCGTTCTCTGATCTCCACCAGCTGTTGCTGCTCATTTTTATCAAAATAATTTATTGGAGTTATAAATGTGTTTTTTTTTCTTAATTTTAAAAGAAGGGAGGGGCTGTGTGTAGTACAAATTTGGGTGGCGCCTCGACGAATGGCGTATTTGTGGGCAATGACTTTTATGTAGGTCGTACATTGTTACTATATTTGTTATAACATAAGATTCTTCCCCTTTCAATTGGAAAATGTAGCATCAATAATTAATGAGAGATGTTACGGTCCCGTTACGGAGTCATATTCCGTTGGGATTTGTAACCGTTAGTGTTGGGAAAGATACGCTGAAATTTCCATGAAGTCGGATCTATCAAAGTGAAATAAAAAAAAAAAATTGGACACACAAATTTGATAACAGAGTTCGGCCAATAATGCCTACGTCTCCGGACTACTGCAGATATTTTATTACGAAGAAAAATACACTCGTGTTTAGAAAACACACTCAAACTCACTCACAACCCACAACACAAATACACATAGAAGCTACAACTTTCACT